AAGGGCTTCCATGGTCCTTCCATTGTTTCCAGTGTCCCCTGGATTGGGAATCTTGACCTCTTTCCCTAAGGGTGCCCATCCAACAGTTGGGGGCAGGAATGGGAGGTGGGAAATGGGGAGGGAGGAGGCGGGGAAGGCAGGCCTCTGGGCCTGGAGATCAGGCCCTGGAGAGGTCCCCAGCCAGGCCACTTCAGAGACAGCCGCCCTCCCTGTGTCGCATACAGGGCCCCCTTTACATCCATTGTCACAGGATTCCTGTGACCTGGCTGGCCAGGGGGCCCAGGTTATGGGCAGAAAGTCCAAGACCCCGGGGCAGGAGGGGACCTGCCCAGATTCACACAGCTGGTTAGTGGCTAAGATGGAGCTCTGGGGTGAGGCCTATGGGAACTCCGTGGCTTGGCACCCTGTCACTGACCACAGCAGCTCATCCTCCACAGGATGGCCAACGAGTCCCACCCCTTGATGGTGCCGAACGGGACCCTGAGGCCCAGAACAGTGCAGGGCTGTGCCTTCTCCTCATTCCCTTTAGTCGCAGTGGCTATGACGATCCAGAAAGCCCGGACACTCCTGCTAGCAGCCTGCGTGCTGCCTAAAATCCCACCATCAGATCCCCGTATTTGGGCAAAGTGTGTCCTGAGGCCCATGTGCCGAGAAGGGCAGAAAGACAAGAATTACAGGCATGTGGTGTCCTCCGTCTTCCAGAGCAGCAGGGAGGGAGGGAGTCCAGGGATCAGTGAGGGGCGGGGGTCCCAAAGGGGTGAGGCACTTTCCTGGGTCCCACAGAGGTTAGCTCAGTCTGGCAGCCAACCCAGACCCTGCTCCCCAACTCTAGATGCCCCTCCTCTGTCCCTGCCCCCCAGGCCCCTACTTATATGTATGGTCCCGGAAGCGGGCAGGCCTGGAGTGACAGGCCCAGCCGCTCTAACTGGGACAGTGGGTGGGGCTGGCAATACCTACCCCTCACCCAGGTCACCCTCTGAGAGGGTGCTGCAGGCCTCAGCGGATTAATGGTGCGGAGGCCACTCATTTCCTCTGGCCGGGAGATAGGCCCCACCACACAGCCCCCCATTGTTGGCCACTCTTATCTCAGGAAGTTCCGCCTGCCCCATCCGGAGGAGGCAGCCGGCCCCCCACGCCCCCGGCCTCACTTTCCTTTGCCTCTTGGAGGCTGGAGAGCTTGGCAGGCCTGGATCACGGATCATGTGGGTGTTGATGCGTGTCTCCCACCCGTGGGAAGTCTGGGCACCAAGGGGGGTCCTGGAGAGGTCAAGGAAGGAATTGAGACAGGGAGGGTAGGAGAAAGTGGAGGGAGGAAGCCCAGCGCACAGGGAGCCACTGGCATAGGGCAGGGGCAGCGGAGGGGGGGTGGGGACTCCTCTGCTGTGAACCTGCCTTAGAGAGAGCACGCAGCCCCTGTGCCCAAAGGCCTCCTCCAGGTGCTGGCACCCACTCTAAGATGCAGCATGGACAGTAAGTAACTCCTCCAGGAAGCCTTCTCTACCCCCCCCCCACTAGTCAGGGTCCCTACCCAGGCTCCCCCCCAGCCCCTGTGCTTCACCCCACCTGCCCAGAGCCCTGAGCACCCAGTGTGGATGCAGGTCTCTTAGGCTGGACATGCTTTGATGGTGGAGACCCCCATGTCTCCAGGACTTGCCCCGCCCCCACCCTCTTCCGCCAGACAAAGAGCTGGACCCATGAGGGGCTGCAGGCTCTCTAGGTCCCCTCCCCACAGACTTGCATCCCCCATCAGCCCGCCTGCCCTCCCACCACCACACTGCTGGCCAAGTATGTCCCTCCGCCCGGGATGCTCTTTCCGCATCCCCCCCTGGCAAAAGCCCAGCCACTCACCCAGGACTGCTCAGGGCCACCCTCCTGGGAGCCCCTCTGAGCCCGGGACTGATGCCTGGGACTTCAGCCAACGCCTGTCTCCTTTTCTGACCAGAACAGCTCTACTCAGTAAATTGTTTAATTAAAGGTTCCACAACTTTCGAAAAGTTTAGAACAACTGGATTCACTCATCTTCATCCTCAGCCCTTAACCCTCTCAGGAAATACCACTCAACTGGTATTTCATGAGAAGTCTAGAGAACTTGGGCATCTGGGGCATCAGAGAGGAACAGGTCCCTTATTTTACTAAAGGCTTTCAATACCTTAACCCAAAGAAGTGACTGAATGGAGGTAATTCAGGCAGTGCGAGAGAGTGGTAAAATGGCGATATTGGGGGGCAAAGGGTCTACCCCTTTGGGGATACTGTTTATATCCTCAGTCACTGAGGCAGCAGTATCTCTCCCGCACCCCCCAGTGTCACCCCCTCCCCTCTAAGCAGGAGGTGGGAGAGAAGGCAAGGCTGGCTGAAGGCAACAAGACAGCCTGGTGCCCAGGCCTGACTTGATAGTGGGAGTGTAGCACCAGCCTGCTCCAGTCTCTGGCTGCTAAAGGTCAGGCCTCACATCTCCGTCTTCATTTTAGGTGGAAGGAAGTGGTAGCTACTTAGCCACATG